ACGTAAGTAGTATAGTTAAATTCACGTAATGCATATAATCACATAATAATATTTCTAAAGGGTTCTCGAGTTAAGAATATTAATCTCGGGTTTTAGGATTTTCGGGTTTTGGAAAGGTGGGGTGTTAAATTTATAATCGAACGAAAGCGGATTACAATCTCTTGAAATTCCTCTGATTCTTCTCTCCTATTCTAAATTTGATTCAAGGACTTAAAAGCTTGTTCTTGATTCGAACAAATGATTTCCTATCACGAAGACCTCAAATTCAAATATGTTATGAATTCGAGGCGGAATGATTTCCTATCACGAACACCTCGAATTCAAATATGTTATGAATTCGAGGCGGAGGCTCAAGACGTGAGCTTGAGAGCTCGATATGTGTCTGTGTGAGCCTGTTTTTTGCATGAGCTGGAAGCCTTCTTTTATAGGCATCTAGGCTTTTCTGGCAAAAGTTAGGGTTTCTCAACTTGCAGTGTGGGCCAACATTTTAAAGCCCTAATATGTTATGGACTATAATTTTGAGACATAATTAATAACTGATTTATTTTGGTTATTAATTAGTATAATTTATCTCAAAATTTCGATGTCTACAACAAATAATATTTAGATCACATAATATTAAACATATTATTATATAACTCAATTGTTTATTGAAAGTAAATGTACCATTAATTTTTAAAATATAAATAAATAGTTCTCGAAGACTAACTAGTCATCATCTTTAATGGTGAACTGAGGTAGAAGTTTCAGAATTAGCTTTATGATTTTTGCTGCAAACACAAACATTGCGACTACAAACCGGCTTATCATTGTCACAGTCTCCGCAGTCACCATCCTTATGGCATTGCGGAAACTTATGATCTCCGCAATAGCAAAGTCCCTCAAAACAAAAGAAGAATGGTTCAAATGGAGGGGGTGCACATTGTACTTGGGATGGGCAGTCACTGTCGACGTTGCACATTTGAGCTGACACTGTCAACAATGACGATGAATAGAATAAATATACACTTGATCATTATTAGTTTTATATATGTATATACACAACACGATCGAATGTGGAAACAGCGCTACGGGGAAACAAACACGGGAAGACGGCATGTCCCAAAATGGGGATAGAGGAGCTTTGGTAAAATGTGTAAATATTAAAAATATAAGGATATATTTATAAATATGCTATATAAACATATATAAGTTTTTATTTATATATATATATATATATATATATATATATATATATATATATATATATATATATATATATATATATATAAAAAAAAACATACATATATATTCAAAATATATTTTACTAACTATCGATTTTGCAGTTGCACATTAAATCATGTAAATAATTAAGGAAACAACAAAAATATTTGAAAATTTGTTGCTCACACATGCATTTATTTTTTTAATAATTGCAAAATGACCCATAAATTGTCCGACAGGTGTCTTCGAGTTTCGCACACAAAATGTGTCCGAAACATGAAGAGAGAGAGAGAGAGAGAGAGAGAGAGAGAGAGAGAGAGAGAGAGAGAGAGAGAGAGAGAGAGAGAGAGAGAGAGAGAGAGAGAGAGAGAGAGAGAGAGAGAGAGACTAACCATAGCCAATAAGAAAAATTGTGACCAAGAAAACTATCTTTTGAGAAGCCATATTTTTGATGAATTACTTATTATGATTAGCTTTGTTTTTTTTGTACGAATGTTTCGATTCATTCTAAACCCTGTATATATAGATGGTTGAATGTAATCTGACAATAAGTAATTTTCAAATGCGATATTGCCTAATTATATGTAATTGGTCTCATTAGAGTCAAGATCACGTGAATTTAGTTGTAAATAAAATAAAATTTTAATTTTGATTTTCTTCCCCATTTACAAAATTTGATACCAAGTATATTTGTGGATGGTATGGATTCCAATGAAAAGTTATTAATGAAAATAAAAATAAGAAATAATAGCTAACTAATTAAATTATTTATCTGGTGGAAAACTTTTTTTTTATCATATTTCAGATTCATCATATCTACTTGCCTAAAAAAGTGGATTTTTCAAAATTATATATCTCGAACTAATAAGTCATACACATTATAATAGAATGTATAAAAAAAAAAAAAAAAAAAAAAGCTAACTTTAATTTAATGTACAAAGGAAATACTATTTAGTATTTACCCACATTGGACTTCCAGTAAATTTTTCTTTTGGACAGCTCCAACCAGATCGTTATTTATCTGTGTACACAGTTGAACTTTTATGAATTAATACAGTCGGACTTGGGCCTAATAATTTTTTTTTAATTTTATTCTATTCGAGCTCCACATTTTGAAACAAGATGATCATAAGATGTGTTTCTAAATATCAGTTTGTGGCGCATCTAAATTGTTTTTTGCACAAAATGAGTACAAAGTAGAAAATATTTCACGTAATCTAGAAGATTCCACTAAATTTGACACCACAAATGTGGACGTGTAAGAAATCCATAATTGAGAAATGCGATTGTAATTACGATAAAAGAAGTAGCATACATTGAATGAATTTGCATTTTACATTTTTGCACCTTATCTTAAAGAAATGACTTTCTCACATAGGATCTTTGATTTTTACCAACATAGTGCCTTACCTTATAAACAACTATATATACATATTAAACGCAAAATAAGTTCAAATAGAAAGTAGTGGGTTTCTTTTTTTTTTTTTTTTTTTGTTTGTTTGTTTGTGTTTTTTTTTTTTTTTTTTTTTTTGATGATTATTAAGAAATTAAAATATGTAGAGAGTAAATAATATGTTGTATTATTTTGTTGTGACATACATTATATTGAACAATAGGGAAAATTTGACACGAAACTGGTGAAATTTATTATTAGGAATAATTCAATTGTTGGCCGGAGAACCATAAGTAAGACTTCACAACTTGGGTCGCTTTCGAATCGAACCTTTAACGAACTCATAATTAATTGAATTATTACGAGACGACAAACTTTTATTCAAACATAATTTAATAAGCATATAATACTTATTTAATTACCGAAAAGCAAAAAAAACAGATAATGCATTTGCAGCAGAGGTAGACGGTTCGATTTTAATTTTGTGAACTATTTTGCTGCAAATGCAAGTACCATGAGTACAAACCGACTTATAAATGCCGCAGTCGTTTGTACGAGCCTGAGCGCAGTCCTGGTCAAAGTCGCACCCTTTAAGGGGCCATGGAGTGCAATAGCACGTTCCCTCGAAACAAAAGTTCGATGGCCGATCTTGTTGAGGGCAAATTACAGTTTGCTTATCACAGTCGGGGTCGACTTTGCACTCTTGAGGCTTGCACTCTTGAGCCGAGACTGATTTTAACCATGATGAAGCATAAATAACAATATGACTGATCATATGAGAGAGAGAGAGAGAGAGAGAGAGAGAGAGAGAGAGAGAGAGAGAGAGAGAGAGAGAGAGAGAGAGAGAGAGAGAGAGAGAGAGAGAGAGAGAGAGAGAGAGAGAGAGAGAGAGAGAGAGAGAGAGAGAGAGAGAGAGAGAGAGAGAGAGAGAGAGAGAGAGAGAGAGAGAGACTAACCCGAGGCAACAAGCAATAGAGTAGCCAGGAAAAACATCTTTACAGAAACCATTTCTTGATGAGTTACTTGGTTATTGCTGCTAGCCTGCTACTAATCCATGTATATATACGCAGATAAGTGAAATCTGACAATAGGTAATGGGTGATGATAAATGCATGACAAGTTTTAATAAATGTAGGACACTTTATTTTACAAAATTGAACAAGGAAACAAAGAAACAAATCACCACAAGGCAAAAGTTTTTGTACAGTGTTTACACCATGTTTTAGGGATGAATTTTGATTCACGGATAACTATTCCAAATTCAGCCTGCAATCATAGAAATAATTGAAAATATGCTTGTGAGTGATGATGCAATCAGAATAAGATTTACAGCTTTTCTTTTCAATTTTCTTAAATTGTGTATGATCTTTTTTTTAAATTAGAAGAATTGTTTATGATTCAGACCAACCATTACAGAGAGATCATTATTCTATTTTTTCACTTTGTTTTATTTTTTAATGTACAAGTGAAAGTGATAGAAATACGATGGATTTGTATTGAAACTTTCACTTAGGAATCGAAATTTGGAATATTGAAAATCTTTTTTTCCAAAATCATTTTTGTTTAATCGGAGTCGCCAGAAATCGGATTTTCTTTTTTTTTTGGTATTATTATTTTAGGGAGTTCAAACCTTGTAACACCGCGATCAATCGAGGCTCCCCTTGAAAACCCGCTACTTTTCCTAAAGAAGGTATAGATAATAAAATTGTGATGAGGAATACTTCATAGCTAATTATAGTCATTTCACTCTAGTTTTTCTACGCAAATTCAAGAAACGGGCGGACGAAAAAATCGAACCTTCTAGTTGATGCGATGAACTCTTGTTTAATATAGTTCTGCATCTCATCCACTTCTTTTGTATAACTGGACATCTGAGAATTGAGATCATATCTTAATTCAGCAACTAGAAAACCTTAATTCAGGCCATGATTCATCAAGAAAAAATCCAAATTCCCAAATCAAATTATCGATTAGGTCTAAACATCAAAATCCCCAATTTGATTTCCCAAATAACATCAATTAGCTATCAAATTGTCTGATTAAACCCCAGCTACTCATTAAGCCCAGATCAATATTGAAATTCAGGATCGATTATACTAAAACAACCAAAATCGAACTCGGTTCTACGAAACCCCCAATTCGCGAAGAGCCCTAATTCTGAGATCATCAATTCGAACAGTAAACATAATTCACTGGAGCCCTCAATAATTCACACTAACATAATCCAGGCTTACAATCAAGTAAAGTGTATCTGTAGAAAATCGGCGACATAAACAAATCCTAGGTTTAACATGGAATTCTACAACTTGCATTTTCAGAATAGAAATTGAAAAGATTAAAAAAATTACCTTACACCAACACGAGCATGTTCACCTGCAAAAAAATGACAATAGCGTTTCTTTGTACATAAATCGGCCGGAGATTAGAAAATTTTGTTTGATACATGTTGAATACTCAATCTGTACAATGTTGTCTTTTTTTTTTTCCTTTCCTTCTTTTATGTTCTTCCAATTTTTAGTATTATCACACACTATGTGAATGAATATCGAATTGTTTTTTTCCAAAGTCTCTGTGCTTGAGAAGTTAAATTTTATGTTTTATTTTCAACTGTTAAATGCATCAATCTTGATAACAATCATGTACATGCAGCAATCTTCCCTCTTCTATCGATACCCTGTATGTGCACAAAAAAAAATCCTAACGACAGATTGCTCAGAATTACAAAAACAAATGATCCAGTGCTTTCGACAATAAAGTCTGGTTCGGTGAAATCTAAAATTGTCGGTTTCAAATTCAACTTCCCCTGAAACAAACGGTTTTAGTTATTGGCAAGATGACAAAAATCTTGGACAAACCATTGAAATCCGACCCAATTTAATGTTTCAATAATTTATATCGAAATCGACTAAAATGTGCTCTATATCGTACTTCATAATGCTGCTACACGACTTCAATTAGAAATAGCAGAAACTCCAAAAGGACCTTCATTAAGTGCTGCAAGGACGGACAGACGCACGACGCTTTTTGCTTTGAAAGTGTTTCATTTTTTTTCCTTCTCGTCGTCAAAATCCAAACATGTTAATCTGCTTTCCGCACCTTCCTTGATTACCAGTCATCCCAGCTGCTGCCTCCAAACTTGTTGAAAACCCGAGATACACTTTGATTTTATTCTCTCTTCCAGCTTCTATCGTGCCCGAAAAATCGGAAGAGCTTTCTTCCGACCTTCAATCCAAACTCAATCCTGCAAAGCAGCCGGGATTTAACATTATATAACGAACTCTCTATCTGAAATGTCAGAAACTACATGGAATCTTACGAAATAGAAAACAATACCATATCAGCATAATTAAGACAATTTATGATGTACGTTAAAAGGCATCTGTCTACCTTCAAAATCACTGCTTATCCAATCCCGAGAACACATCAAAGCTTGCAAAGTATCCGACTTCATTGTGCTCCAACAATGATCGAGGGCTCTTTCTCCGGTATCAAATAGTGATTCCACTGCAACTTTCGAAATAGGAATTCCCAATATGTTGCGAGCCATCATGGAAAGCACGGGGTATCTTGGTTCGTGCACTTTCCACCAGTTTAATACGCTAATAACATTCTTACGCGGGAAGAGTGGTTCCTCCAAGTATTTGTCCAAATCCGATTTCGTGTTTTGGCTAACTGAAGTTTCGTGGAGAAATCTATCAAACCCGGTGAGTTTGTCCTTGACAATGCTAACGCTACTTTCCGAAGCCGAACTTTGACCGTGAGCAGATAAAGGTGAATAAATAGCATGACCACTGTATAGAGCTTTCATACAGTTTTTGACAATGTCGATACAATCGGGAGCACTATCTCCGTAAATTTGAGGGTAGTAATACTCTACCAATTGCATCTTGTACCTAGGATCTAGTATGGCCGCAATCGCCATAATCAAGCTGCATTTCTTCCAATACTCGTCAAATTTTGATTTCAATTTCAACGCCAAGGAGCTGATAAATTCATCTGATTTCTGGCACCACCCAATCAACTGTAAGTGAATGTCGCATATCTCATTAAAATAGGAGTTCGAAGTGATGTGCTTGCGCCCTGCAAAGACATTCGAAACTTCGTGAAAGAACTTAAAGATGCTTGTAATGGCCCTCAATCTGTCCCAATCTATATCAGATGGACACATAGAGAAGCCCGGGTCGTGTTCTTGCAGTTGCGGAAAGGCTTCCTTGTACTCTAAAGCAGCTTCTAGCATCATACACGTCGAGTTCCACTGAAACGGATTGTCAACCGACAGGCTTTTCTGACAATTAATACCAACTAACTGCACTATCTCGTTGAACTTTTCTTGTGTTGCCTGAGAACCTTTGACGTACCGTATAGTTTCCCGAACTTTATTGGTTATCTCACGTGATGTTTCTAGGACATCTTGAACCAATAACTTAACTGTACTCGCTGCACATCTCACATCAAATAACTGGCCTTCACACATAAGGAACCTGTGCTGGCAGAGCTGGTCCCTGATTCTACAGACAGTTTTTTCATATGTGGCACGATTATCAATTGTTAACGAGAACAACTTTCGATCAATGTCCCATTTCCTTAGACTTGTCATGATTAATTCTGAAAGCGTCTCTTCCGCCTGATCAGGATCAATAACTAAAAAGTTCAAAATCTTCTTCTTTAGTTCCCAAGAATCATCGATATAATGTGCTATCAAGCACAGATACTCTGTGCCGCCGTTAGTCGACCATCTATCAGCACTAAGGCTGACCTTTCCGGGTAGTTTATCCAACTCTTCATAAACTTTTTGTCTCTCTTTATTATAGATCTCAATACAGTCATCCTCAACTCCGCTAGCTGTCACGAGATCAAACAAGGGCTGAAGATTCCGGACAAATATCTTGAAGCCAATATCTTCAACCATACCTAAAGGATACCCATGCATTATAATCATACGTGCAAGATCTAGCTGGCTCCGCCTGTGATCGAGATTGAGAACTCCTGTGTTATTATTTCCAACTTTCACCCCTTCTTCCATGTTCATACTCGCAACGGTTACTATCTCATTCTTTATCGGGGATTGATTATAACTGAAACTTGTGATCGCAAGGGTGTTCTGCTTCCTTTTCCCCCTTGTTAGCAACTGAGTTATATCATGGTTCGATCGTCTACGACACCTGATCAAATGATTTCTCAGATGAGATGTTCCACTGGTACTTGACCCACTGAGTATTCTTTTACAGTGCCGACAAATAGCCGCAAAGGTTTCACCTTTTTTAACTCTGTCAAAATCATTCCATACGACAGACTTCAATCTACTCGAATTGACAATCACCCCTTCTTCCGGGATCTCCATCAGCTCAAGCTGTTAACTCTTGACCCAAAACTGTCGAAAAGTCCAGAGAAGTAAACTCATAATCAATATACAGATGCAATGAATTCTTGAATATCTTGATTATAGAAAATAGAAATGAAAAGGCAGTAATAATCAATCAAGTTCAGCCATACCCCCAACAAGTCAACAACCGTACATTTGAATCTAAATTGAAACTCATTAACACAGCTAATAAACTATAGAACACATGTAAATATGAGACGAACAGCCTCAAACAAATTGCGGATGTATGTGGATTACTAATTCATAATCATTTCAACTTAACCAATCTTTGGAGGCAAAATAACTGGATAATAAAAAACCTGCAATTTTGGTGTTTACTGTAAAAACCCACCGAACAAACCGACCCGCTAATATAATGAAAATGGGTAAAATGGGAACCCTAATACGGATCGGAACCTGACCCGTAAAACGCCACTCATTCAAAATCCACCACCAATACATAAAACATCATACGGCATCGGGTTTAACAATTCATAGAAACCGAATTACGCATACGGATCATTACCCACACACAAAATAAAAAAATCCGAATTTATGAGCGAGAAATTGAGCGGCTTACAGGTAAAATGGATAGTTTAGTATCTCTGCAAATTAGGGTTTGTTTACATAGCTAGCGGTCCATGGATTGGGGGAAAATCCGTCAAGTGTGTGCTGTATGTGTGCGATAGAAAGAGAAATCTTCTGTATTTGGGAGAAAGGAAGAGGATATGGAGTAATTTTCATCTAAGGCGCCAACCCGCTAACCAGAGCTGCAAGCAAGGTGGGCTTTTGTTAGGGCTTTCTGGGCCACCAAATGCAAATATATACACACATATATATGATATATATATATATAACAAAGCCCAATTTCCCTCAATCGGACTATAATTTAACAATGTTTTTCTTTCCTTTTTTTTTTTATTTTTTAAAATATATAATATTTGTTTTTTTATGCTAACTAAATGTTGGAATTCGGACAAGCGAACAAGCACAAATTATGGTACCCTAATTATGATTAGTTTAATAGAATACAAATAATTAAAGTCATAGTAAAAATTCATTACAAATATTACAAAAGTCATAAATACTTAATTTTTTTTTTCTACTTTAATCCAACATCAAAGAAAAATAAAATACACTAATTGGAGCAAGAGTACATAGACTCCGACAAATTCCGGTGTTGTGGCTGTGGGTGCATGGTCCGATGAGGGGTTCGGTGTTGTGTTGGCCACGGGTCCACAATATTTGTATAAGGCGCACTCGTCTAAGGTCTTGCACTGGCACTCTCTGTGGACACAGTATACATGTTCCGGGAATGTAAACTCTAGACACGCTATTTGTAGACGATCGCAATCCTCTTGAGTCGTGCAATTGTTCTGATGTGACGTGCAATTGTTCTCGTGTGATGTGCAATTGCTCCCGTGAGCTGCCACTGTGTCAAAAATCGAAAAATAAAAATAAAGAATGATCATATACATTTGAGAGAGAGAGAGAGAGAGAGAGGGGGGGGGGGGGGGACAACCTGTTGCTACGAGCATGAAGACGCCCAAAAATGTCAGCTTGAGTGACGGCATTCTGAATTTGAGACAGAGAAAAAGAGATATGAGAGAAGTTCTTGATACGACTACGAGAATCGAGTCGTTTTAATCTAGTTATACGTCAACGAGAGAAAATACTCGGTGCAGCCTTTCATGTTAATACTCTTTCCAGTCTCACAGACCAAGCGTTAGTCCAGTTATCCAACTTAATTGTTTCCAACAACCGAAAAATTGATTGCCATACCTATACTACTTTTCTCTTACATAGCAATTTTTTTCAAAAGTTAACAAAATGTGTATATTTTATTTACGACCATTTGCAACCAAATGGTGCATAAGCATTCTCGATTTTCCGTTTGTCTATAATTTCCCCATCTTATGGCCACTGTAAAATATAAATCCAATAATATTCAATCAAGGCAGTCTAAACAAATCGAGGCCAAGAATTAATAACACTCGGAAGAAAGGCAGAACACAATTCACTAATAGAAACATATGCAGTGTTCGGGGAAGAAACCTCATCGTCTAGTGATTAAAGATTCTTCACTTCCAACTGCGAGTTAAATAATTTATCAAAGAAACCGGCGAAACCCAAAGTACAAGTACATCTTGTGGTTATAGCAAGAAGTGCATATATAATCTAACTACTATACGACAAAATTGAAATGTCAAAAAGACCACGAACACGTTGGCATGCCATTACGAACCTGTTAGGAGCATCAGAGAACAAAATTTTGCACGTGCAGCCATAATAAAATCAACTAATCTTCTCATTTTAGAAAATAAAAAAAAAAACTTGGAAGAAATCGCAATTTTTTCCATGCGAAAAGGGCAAAATGGTCATTTCAGTGCTCGTAATCTGAATTCATGTTCAGAATGGGTTCATAGCTTAATTCAGAAACTAAAAAACCTTAATCGAAGCCATGATTCATCACCACAAGTACAAATTCCCAAATCAAACGTCTAAACTCAAAATCCCCAATTTCATTTCCCTAATTAAACCTAAACTACTTCTATACTCAAATAACATCAATTAGATATCAAATTGTCTAATTAAACCTCAGTAAATTACACATCAAGCCTAGGTCAATAATGGATTTCAGGGGCGATTATGCTAAAACCACCAAATTCGAACTCGGTTCTACAAAAACCCCCAATTCACGAAGAGCCCTAATTCTGAGATCATCAATTAGAACAACAAACACACAAATTAAGACGTGGAACTGAATTGCATGTTACTTACGGTGAAGATATTTGAGCTTCGAATCCAATTGCACAGAAACTGGAGATCGAGATTTGCAGATGTTTCTTGTAGCAAAGATGGAGATATGCAAGGGAAGAAGAAAGAGGGGTGATTTCTTTGGAGAGAGCATTATTATTGCTAAAGGTGTATTACTATTAGTGTAGTGGAGCACATCATATTCCTGCAATTTCCATGCTCTGTGTATATATGGCAAAGAAACACTTTGCGGAGAAGGGCAAATTGGTCATTTAATACAAAGTGTGTCACTTGGGACTATTTATTTTTTCTACAGTTATTTGATATTTTTTTTTTTTTTGATAATTAAAGTTATTTGATATTAACTTAGAGTTATATCCGTTACAATATTTTGGGTTTGAATTTATAGCGCCAATTTTCTAATGATTTATCTCCTTTATAAAATTTTTTTGTACGGCTATCTGTATGTAGTGATAAGAAAAGCACAAATTTTGAACGATAATCGGATTATATATATATATATATATATATGACTTTTAAGAAAGTTACATGCATAGAGCCTTCAAGATCTAAAACGAAAAAATGCAAAAACTGCCTGCCCGTTTCGTTGTTTATATATAAAAACTGATAAAAATTGTATGACCGAAGAAGAACGTTTTAACATTTTGGGCGAAAAAAAAAAATTGTCGAAACGTTGTAGATGTACAAACCTTATTGGGCCATGTCATTTGGGTTAGTGTTATTTTATCTTAAGAAGATGGGTATTTTAGTCTTTTCAAATTGAGATACTAAGGAAATATGACTAACAAGGAAAAAAATCCATTTTATTAGGCACCTAGATGAAGAATCTGAGCGAATCTATTAAGATTCGCAAGAAATAAATAATTTCATGAAATCCATGATTCAAAACTATACTAATTGGCATCATAATTTGCATGAGAGGAAAGAAATCCAAGAATTATATTTTTAATTTATTTATACTAAAATTCATGTGATATTTGCATAAATTACCTATTGTCGGATTAAATTCAACCATCTATATAATACAGGGTTTAGAACTCGGCATACATATTCTTACAAGACACAAAAATTAATCAAGAATATGGCTTCTCAGAAGATGATTTTCTTGTTCACCATTTTTCTTATCGCATGTGGTTAGTCAATCGATCTCACTTTCTCTCTCTAGATCTCTCTAACTAAAACTAATGACTGAGTTTTTCTTTTTTTTTTTGATGTATTTTTCTTTCTGATGTATTTTTCTTTCATAATGGTTGGCAGTGTCAGCCGAACAGTGCAAGGTCGACCGCGACTGCGATCATCAAACTGTAACTTGCACAGACCGGCCAGGATCAAAAACCGTTATTTTGCTTTGAGGGAGAGTGCTATTGCCCTCCGTGGCCGATTGCACAGTGCCACACTGATGATGCATGCGAACGGCGTCGTTCGAACGATTGTCGCGATTTCAAGTCAGTTTGTACTCACGGCCTTTGTCTTTGCAGCAAACATCACAAAATTAATTCCGAAGCATCTGCCTCCGTTCACCATTAAAGATCAGAAGTGATGATATATTTTATTGTTGCAAATTAATGCACTATCCTTTTTTTTTTCCGCAATTAAATTATTATCTTTTGCCGATTAATTAGTTCGGATAAATTAAACCATGTTTGAATAAAAATTTATGGTTTCGAAATTATTCAATTAATTATGAGTTCGTTAAAGGTTTTATTCCAAAGAGACCCACGTTATGAAGTCTAGTTTACTTATGGATCCTTAGCACGGCATACAATTTATAAATTATTCGCCTAAAGATAAATTTCACCGGTTTCACTTTTGTTTTTAGTTGCACGCGTATTTCATATTCAAAATCCGCCTATATTTAATAGATATGTAGGAGAACTAAAATAAAATTTAATGTATACGAATGAAATTAATTGAACATCCATATCGAATTAGAAATTTATGGATAAATTGTTTTCTACTCAATTTCTCTTCATAATTTATTTTCTATGATTTTTTCCCCAAAAACGACGCCGTGCGGCAGAATCACTCCGCACCGTGTTCTGTGTTCTGTTCCTCTCTCCTCAAAATTGAAAATCCTTCCTCTCCGGAAACACTTGTCGCTCTCTCTTCAAATCTTTCTTCTCTCCCGCCGCTCCCATGGGTTTCTTTTTCCGTCACCGTCATTATAATTCTCTCTCTCTCTCTCTCTCTCTCTCTCTCTCTCTCTCTCTCTCTCTCTCTCTCTCTTGAGCTGTAACATCTTATCATCACCATCGCGATTTGGGGGTTTTGTTGAACTGAGTTCGGATTTGGTGGTTTTAGTATAATCGATCCTGAAATCCGTTATTGACCTAGGATTTGCGTAACTGAGGCTTAATTGGACAGCACGATACCCAATTGATGTTATTTGGGTGCAGTACATAATTAGTTCTACGATTAATTAGGGCAATCAAATTGGGGATTTTTACGTTTAGACCTAATTGATCATTTGAATTTCTAGTTGCTAGTTTGTGAGGCTGAAAGTCACTTTTGCCCTTTCTCCCTTTCCCCTCTTCATTCTTTCTTGCTCTGCCGTATAGATACATGTATCCGCTAGCGGCTTTGAATTCATATCGAGTTTGTGCTCTGATTGGGTTTCACGACAAACGCAGAGGGGCCCGTAGTGAAACATTGGAGAGGTTTATCCAGACGACGTATATTTTTACGAGAAAAAAAGGTTCCGTTTTTGTGGCGCATTGAGAGACAGGCAACTACATTCGTGTTATTTCTTCCGCTCTTTGGACATTTTACGTTTGTTTCGTATCTTCCTAGAAAGAGCTTAATTGGTGTTCTTTGTTATTTATGCACTTAATGACAGGTCCTGCAATTGAATAATTTTCGGGGAAAAATTATATTGCCACCTTCAAGTCTCGATCTGTTGACACTGATATCTTACTTGATTTTTTTTTCTTTCTAAAAATCAAAATTTCCCGGGAAAAAGATCGTGTTCTTAGATAATATCTAATGAATATAATGTAGATAGAATGCCAAATAAAGATGCAGTTTCTAACTTGTTGTCCTTTGATCTTGAGAATAGTTTTTTGGCTGTAACTTCTTTTCTCAAATTGATATTGCAAACTGAACTTCTAACGGATAATAGAATTTGAAATCTGTTGACAATAACTAAATCTGTTTACAACATAAAACATGTATTTACAGACATCACTGCTGCAAAAATACAGTATATACCACGGACTCGTCTGTGTACTTTCTCAGACATTGTTTCTTCTTGTTCTCATTTTGCTGGTTCATCGAACCATCATCTCCAGTACCTGAATAATCAATTTTCAGAGAGAGAAAGATGCAGGTTTAATAGATTTGAAGTGCAAAATGAAATCGAGTAAGCCCAAAAGAACGTCGAGAAACAAATTGTGTATACCTATTGGCATTTGCATCAATTCAGCCTACATAATTCTAGAACAGCAAAAATAAAGTGTCATAGTATACTACGAACAAATTATATTCCAATAAACAGTACCACAAGGACACATCAAAAGCACCATAAGGCAAATATAAAAGGCTCATCAGGCTTGATCAATATAGAGAAATGCTATTTAATTAATGAAGCTAATATTTCCATCCCTCGAATACTTTCGTTACACTAACTTAAGCACAGATACAACTGAAGCTATATATAATTAACTAAAAAAACTAAAAATAAATAAACAACTTGGTTGAACCCAATTGAACTGGCCCAACCGTGACTAGGTTGATTTATCGAATCAGAGTACACAACCACCGGACTACGGACTGTGTGCACACCATCATTCCACTCAATGTAGGCCGAGATCATGTACTCCTTGATCTTCCCATTGATAATTACTTCAAATGATTTCTTTTCTCCGAATGCTTTAAATGTTAGGATCTTGGGGTTCACCGTGATAGTATAATCTGAACTGCTAGTCGTTTTCACCTCATATTTCGAATTTTCAGCTCCCACATTCGTAACTGTCCTTACGAAATTCTCCGAAAAGCTGCTCCCGTTAACTCGAACAGTCATTGATGGGTAGTTCATATCCTTGGGTGCAGTACTCCTTTCTCCAGTAGCGCAGCTGCCATTTATTGATAATAGTCTCGCATATCCCAAATTGCAAACAAGAGTAACATAATCTGCCGTGGATGTTTCGTACACGAGCCCAGGATCAACAGCTCTTCGTGGATCAATATGTCCAGCTCCGTAAGAAAATTCTGCTAGCTTGTCCTTTGTGGGATCCAATCTCCAGGCTTCAAAAAATAAATAAAATGAAATAATTAAATACTAGTTATAATGAAAAAGAAAAGAAAAAAGACATTTCAATTTTTTTTATTTTTTTTGGTTGGTTCAACATTACCTGTCGTCATAAGAGCCGATTTGATTGCTGAAGCTGACCAATCAGTATGGAATGATTTTATGTAAGCAGCTGCTGCGGTGACATGTGGGCAAGCAACGGATGTTCCGGACATAACATTAAAATCCACAGATCTTGAATCATAAGGGTCATCTTCACCTGATGGTGAAGCTAAAGGTGAATAGGCAGCTAGGATTTCAACCCCTGGTGCTGTAATATCTGGCTGCATATACAGAAGAGATATATGTTACAGACTTTTATTGCAATAATTAGAATGTGAAATGAACAAGTAAAGTAAAGAAAAACACAGTGTACTTTCAAAATATCCGGAATGATGATATTTGGTCCCCTCGAAGAAAAGCCAGCGACTCGTGGTGCATCCAGATTTGTTATTAATTCACTAGGGAGTATAGTTGCTTTTGGAGACCTACACAGAAGATAAAATTCAATCAGTAAAATTATTTCAAATTAGTGTAAATTAATTTATCAAGGAGTATTATGATAGGAACTTACTTTGTCGAGCTAAAATAACTCTGAATTGTGTTGAAGTTACTCTCATTGAAGCTCGACGCCGCAGTAGGAACTACAAACGACACAGGGGTCGGGTAACTTGATTGCAAAATCGCTCCAACAGCTCCAGCTTTAGAAACTTCTTCTATGCCACTGTAGTTGTTGCACATAACAATTTTCCCTTTCACCAAACTGGGCTCCAAACAACCATAGTCACATGCTCTGTAATTCAAATAAAAAAAAAAAGTTAAATGTCATACATTTTATATACCTTTTTATTTATAAAATGATATATTTAAAGGGTATCAAGAAATTACTTTGCAGCTTCTTTGTGACATCGACTATCATCTCCGTAAACTATTGGGAAACTAATCCCATGTAAGTTGAAGGGGTGAATCGACTTTCCCTGTGGCATTTATCAACAATCAGGTTAAAATACTACAATAACAATTACAAATACAAACATCGTAAAAATGATATATAATATACTTACATTAAATGTCGTTCCATCCTCTAAACTGACTTTTGTGATGATTCCCCGGTCGGTATTGCTAGCAGCGACCGAAAAGATCCATGGAGCGATACTTACGGTAGATAATTTTCTCGCCTCATTCCCCGCAGATTGTACCACTAAAATGCCGCTAACTGATGCATGAAAGCCGCCGATTGCAACGCCATCGCTTGCCAAGTCAGAAGCAAATTTTTGTCCGATAGAGGCTGAAATAATGTCGACGCCATCATAAATTGCATCGTCGAATGCAGATAATATGTTGGCTGTTTCGCAGTGCCCATCATGGCAAGCCTTATAAATGGCAATCCTCGCCGACGGGACGCCACCTCTAGCGACTCCACCGGCAATGCCGTAAAAGCTGGCATCAATGGGGCGTCCTGCTGCAGTAGAAGCTGTATGGCTTCCATGACCAGTGTCATCTCTAGCTGAGTACGTAGTGTAAAACCGAGCTCCTATCAGTTTGCTGCACAAGAACAAACTTGGAATTTTTATTATCTGGTATTATTTGGACATTAATATTTTTACACAGTTACATATGGAGAGGAAAATAAAATTCTTACTTGTTGCAAGTGAAGTTTTCACCTCCCTTGCAAGCTCCTTTCCATCTCAAGGGCGGAGGACTGAGTCCTCGGTCGTTGAAGCTCTCCGATTCCGGCCAAATCCCGGAGTCAATAACTCCAATTATAATATCACTCTCCACAGCGAGATTTCGCGGGATATTCATCGGAAATCCCATGAAATCCCACGATCTCGTAGTATGGGTGTGAAAAATAGCATTTGGGAATATCGATAGGACTTTCTCGTGACCTGATTGCGCAATAGCTTAAAGTACTGAGATCGAAGATTCAATACTAAATTACAATAATATAAGAGTCACTACACATTACAAAAAAAAAATAAAAAAAATCTACTGTTTCAATGTGTAAAGATGTCTGTTCAGCTATGAGTTGTTATTTAATTTTTTTACGTTGGCTCAAATACTTGTTTTCGCATTTTAACTGTTTGTTGATCTCAATATTTGGTTTTGGGACAATAAGTAATCTCATGCTTAAGCTTGTCCATTTTCTTTTGTATAAACAGATTCAGCTTCAAATTTTGCAATAAGATAATTACCAGTTAATTAGAAATAGATTTTGCACAGTTGGAAACATTGTGGAACAAATGTTGTGGAACAGAGTGAATTGTTTTCTGAGATTTGATGCCTTTTTTTCTTTTTTTAATTATATTGGTGCAGCCTAATTAGCTATAAGAGATGCAATTTCGAAAGTTATCAAACACTTTTGTGCTGGGAATTTAACATTTGCGATGTTTTTATTTGCCTCTAAAAATGTAAATATGAGCACGATTTCAATCCGATGTATACACAATTTCATAACGGCACATTTAAGACACAATATCGAGACATTATTTGAAGTGTATTTTTGTTGCAGTGAGTGAAAAGTACCAGCCAACTTTTCGTGTTCTTGGGCTGTGAGGGAGGCCGCAAAACCGTTGAAGCTCCTTTTGTAGCTTCGCAGCAAGTTCTGCTTCATAAATCTGTGTATAAATGAGTTCATCAATTATTTTGCTTGTTTAATTTTACCTTATAGTAAAAATTACGATTAATTTTAGAACCGTTGGTAAAATAAGGGTTGAATATATAGAAACGAAATCGTTACCTAGCATCGACGATGTCGCGAAGCATGTCAAGATGGTCGACCATATCAGGGGAAAGACTTCCGAGATACACGATGTAGACCTACATTGATGCATGTATATCAGATCGAAAATAAAAATTAAATATATATGTGTAAATTAATAACAAAACATTGTAAGAAACAGAGAAATTAAAAGCAAATGAAAATTAATTAGAAGACTTGCCTCCCTCTCGTTTGAAATTGCATGAACAATATGAATGCAGGTAGAACCCAAAACGACGAGGAGGAGAAAAGTGAGCGTGAGAAGCCGATTCATTCCGAGCCGGAGAGACATTCTTCGAGAAATATACCTTATACCTCCCAAACTGACGATGGTGATCCCGTCACTCTAATAGATAAGAAATTACATCAGAGAAGAGAAATCCCTATAGAGATGAATACAATAGTTTTCATACAAGGAAACTCAGAAAATACACACACACACATACACACACACACATAAACAAACAACACACACACACACACACACACACACACACACACACAACACACAGACACACACAACACACAGACACACACAGACACAGACACACACACACACAACACACAGACACACACACACACAGACACAGCACACACACACACACAACACACAGACACACACAACACACAGACACACACACACAGACACAGCACACACACACAGACACACACATACAACACACACACACAGACACACACAACACACAGACACAGACACACACACAGTAACACAATACACACAGACACACACACACACAAACTCACAAAAACACAATACACACACACACACACACACACAAAAACTCAACACACAGACACACTCAGACACACACTCACAAAAACACACACACAAAAACACAACACACACACACACTCACAAACACACACACACACACACACACACTCACAAACACACACACACAAACACTCAGACACACACACACACTCAGACACACAGGCACACACACACACTCAGACACACACACACACACACAACACACACACACAACACACACACTCACCAAAACACAGACACACACACACACACAACACACACACACACACACACAACACACACACAGAAACAGAAACAAAAATCTATTACACGTAATCTGGCTCAAACTTGGGGAAAATACCTCCTCGATCAAATTTGTTTGATTGTAACTTGAATTAGCTTCCTCAGAATTACTCTCTCTAGACTCTGATGAAGAGCAGACCTTAGCAGTGGCGAGACACTTTTTTTTTTCTCTCTCTCCTCTTTTTTTTTTAAATTTTTTTTTTTAATTAGGACTTTAAATTTTCATTAAAATTCAATTCTTAAGTAAAAATGGAAAATGAGGCATAACAAGGCCTTGTAATTTGTTGCCCGTTGAATAATATTGCTTTTTATTGACTGTTGCTTCATTTTTATGTTATACGGACCAGGTATATATATATAGAAAGCCTGTCTCTCATTAAATTGTATGGCCAGTGGGGCTTTCTATTTTGCATGGCAAAATGCCTTTTCCTCATACGTAATACACTAAATCTTGGGATGCTTTAATATACATACATAGTAATTTGTATTCCGATTTCCAATAGCATTTGATGTATATATTATTCATCAAAATACTTTATTTATTTATTAATATTTTAAAATACTTTGTCTGCGTTGATATTTCTTAATTTATCCGAGTCAACAACCGAATCATATATATATATATATATAGAGCCTTTAAGATCTAAAACGAAAAATGCAAACACTGCGTGGCCGTTTCGTTGTTTTTAAAAACTGATAAAAATCGTATGACTGAAGAAAAATGTTTTAATATTTTGGGCGGCAAAAATTTTTTTAGTCGAAATGTTGTAGATGTACAATTTACAAACGTTTTTGGGGCATGTCATTTGGGTTAATGTTATTTTATTTTAAGAAGATGGGTATTTTAGTCTTTTCAAATTGAGATACTTAGGAAATATGACTAACAAGGAAAAAAATCCATTTTATTAGGCATGTAGATGAAGAATCTAAAATCGAATCAATTAAGATTCGCAAGAAATAAATAATTTTATGAAATCCATGATTCACAACTATACTATTTGGCATCATAATTTGCATAAAGGGAAAGAAATCCAAGAATCAAAATTTTCATTTATTTGTAATAAAATTCATGTCATATTTGCATAAATTACCTATTGTCCGATTACATTCAACCATCTATATAATACAGGGTTTATAACTCGGCATACATATTCTTACAAGACAAAAAATTAATCAAGAAATATGGCTTCTCAGAAGATGATTTTCTTGTTCACCATTTTTCTTATCGGATATGGTTAGTTGATCGATGGCACTTTCTCTCTCTAGATCTCTCTCTCTAAAACTAATGGCCGAGTTTTGTTTTTTTTTTTTTTTATGTATTTTTCTTTTATCATGGTTGGCAGTGTCAGCCGACCAGTGCAGGGTGGACCGCGACTGCGATCATCAAGCTGTAACTTGCACAGACCAAGATCAAAAACCGCTATTTTGCTTCGAGGGAGAGTGCTATTGCCCTCCATGGCCGATTGCACAGTGCCACACTGATGATGCATGCGAACGTCGTCGTTCGAACGATTGTCGCGATTTCAAGTCAGTTTGTACTCACGGTCTTTGTCTTTGCAGCAAACACCACAAAATTAATTCCGAAGCATCTGCCTCCGTTCACCATTAAAGATCAGAATCGATGATATATGTTATTGCTGCAAATTAATGCACTATCCTTTTTTTTCCCGCAGTTAAATTATTATCTTTTGCCGATTAATGAGTTCGGATAAATTAAATCATGTTTGAATAAAATTTTATGGTTTCGAAATTATTCAATTAATTGTGAGTTCGCTAAAGGTTCTATTCCAAAGAGATTCACGTTATGAAGTCTAGTTTACTTATGAATTCCCAGGCACGGCATACAATTTATAAATTTCACCGTTTTAAATTTTGTATCTATATTTATAGATATGTAGGAGAACTAAAATAAAATATAATGTATACTAAAGAAATTAATTCAACATCCATATTGAATTAGAAATTTATTTAATATTGATTGGATAATAACATTATCTTACTTGTTCATAACAAATACTAATATACCGTATTATTCATGTTTTACATCTATTTTTTAATAATTATAATTTCAATTAATATTGGTTGTGGTAAAATTGGTTTCCAATTAACTCTTCGGCGGAGCCATCGGAGAAATCGATGAATCAAATGACCCGTTGGTGATGATGGTTGTGAGGAGATGAGAGGGTTTTTTAGGGCAATTATCCATGACCGAAGAAAGTCCGAAATCGAAATCAAAACTGAACAGATGATCGATTTTAGAACTCTGCCCTATATAAAATGCTACAATAATATTTTAGAATTGGAACATAAATAAAATAATCACATCTTATTTTGGGGTATTTTTCTTGCATATTGTAGCCACTATATAATTTTTGTAACATAAATTAAAACTAAATATTTACGTACTTCAAAAAAATAAACGTTCCAAAAAAATTGACAAAAATATATAAAATAATACAATAATATATTTTAGAATTGGAACATAAAATAATCACGTCTTATTTTTTTGTATATTTCTACTCAATTTCTCTTCCTAATTTATTATTTATTATTTTTTCGACGCCGTCCGGCAGAATCCCTCCACATTGCTTCATTTTATTTTGGGAATCTACACTTTGTCCCTTATACGTTGGTTCGATATCACTTTTTCCCCTTCACTCTCAATTGCATCGATTTGCCACATTGTACTTGAAAAATTGTCTCAATGTGGCCTCGTCCTTAGTTTTCAGACATTTAACCTCAACACCGTTTGATTTAGGTTTGAAAATTACAAAAAACCACCCGTCCCAGTTTAAATAATTATTAAAAAAAATTAAGAAAATAAAAAATAAATTGTGACTGGCATCGTGGACTATGTTTTCTCGTTTTCTTTAATTTTTTTTTTAACTTTTTCTTTTTATTATTTAAAGTGGGAGGGGTGGTTTTTTTGTAATTTTCAGACTTAGATCAAACTATATTAAGGTCAAAGTTTGAAAACTAACGGTGAGGGCCGAATTGAGACAATTTTTCATGTACAGGGGACAAATCGATGCAATTAACAGTAAAATGTGGTAAAGTAATATCGAGCCAAAGTACCAAAGTACACAAGGGAAAAGTGGAATTTGCCCTTTCACTTTTTCTCCCTTTTGTTCTTTATTTTCTGCCTGTAGGCTGTAACACGTGTTCGGTGTTCCTCTCTCCTCAAAATTGAAAATCCTTCCTCTCTCCGGAAACACGTGTCGCTCTCTCTTCGAATCTTTCTTCTCTCCCGCCGCTCCCATGGGTTTGCTCTCTCTCTCTCTCTCTCTCTTGTAACCTGAGTTCGGATTTGGTGGTTTTAGTATAATCGATCCTGAAATCCGTTATTGACCTAGGATTAATGCGTAACTGAGGGCTTAATTGGACAACACGATACCCAATTGATGTTATTTGGGTGCAGTACACAAATTAGTTATAGGACTAATTAGGGAAATCAAATTGGGGATTATTACGTTTAGACCTAATTGATCATTTGAATTTCTAGTTGCTAGTTTGTGAGGGCTGAAAGTCACTTTTGCCCTTTCTCATTTTCCCTCTTCATTCTTTCTTGCTCTGCCGTATAGATAGATGTATCCGTTAGTGGCTTTGAATTCATATCGAGTTTGTGTGCTGATTGGGTTTTACGACAAACGCAGAGGGGCCCGTAGTGAAACATTGGAGCCACCTTCAAGTTTCGATTTTCTTGATTTTTTTTGCTTCTAAAAAACAAAATTTCCCGGGAAAAAGATCTTGTTCTTAGATAATATCCAGTGAATATGTTAGCTAATGAATATAATGTAAGATATGATGCCAAATAAAGATGAAACTTCTTTGATCGTGAGAATAGTTTTTTGACTGCAACTTCTTTTTTTTCAAATTGATATTGCAAACTGAACTTCTTAACGGATAATAGAATTTGAAATCTGTTGACAAAAACAGTAACTAAATCTGTTTACAACAGAAAACGCGTCCCTATAAATGACATTTACAGTCATCACTGCCGACAAAATACAGTATTTACCACGGATTCGTCTGTGTCCTTTGTCAGACATTGTTTTAATATCTAGAACAAAATTAAATAACGTTAAATGTAATTAAATAACGTTATGAAGCCTTAATATATTGACTGTTTTGCTTGTTAAGAAAATGGAGTACTGATAGAGAGAGAGAGAAATATACCCAATTGCACATCTTATCAAGTTAAAAAAATAAAAATAAAAATCAAAAATCAAAAAAGGAAAAAATGAAAAAAAAAAGGAAGTTGGAGGTTACTTTGGATGAAAAATCATTACATGTTTGCCGGTAATCATTCTGACATTGACGCTTAGATTGAGTACCCTGCAGATGGTCTCTGCACTGTCATGTCACCGATTGCAACAAATCATATAACCTACAAAATCGAGCTTTCAATGAACAAATATTCTTGAAATATCTAAGAAAACTGAAAATTTATGGCTTAATAATATGATGAATAGATATGTTCGTAAACCAATTATAATGACAGAATTGATAGGGTTCTTCGAAGCTTTCTTAAAAAAAAGAAAAAGAAAAAAAGAACAGCAGTTTGTTCATTGACTAGAACCCTCTTGTTCCTATTTAAAGCATATACTTATACAGACGAATAGGGCATAGGAGTGAAGAGAATGAGAATCCCAAGTCCTTCAAAAATACACCCGCATTTCATAGATTTTCTTACACGTGTTAGCCTAAACATGTAATGCAATAATCCCTGAGAAGGGACCTAAAAAAATTTAAACTAATTAAAAATGAAGCGGACTACATACTCATCTCGGAGTGCAGTATGTCACAGTACCCCGGTGGGAGGAGCCATCTCGAAGCTAGAGTAAACAAAAAAAAATGCATTACTATTTTTGGCAATTAATTCATCCAAATGATTGAGAAGTTCTCACTTTACAAACTAACTAAGCCCGACTTCAAATAAGATACTATGTATGGTGTTTACGAGGTATGAAAGAGGTGTTTACCACTGCCACCGAGCCAAGCCATGTAAAATGGTGTTAGATTCTCCATCAAGCCCGACTTCAAATGAACTGCAAAGTAAACAGAACAAAATTATCAAATTATCAAGCTTGAAATTGCACAGAAGAATAGTACGCAATTTTTTTTAAAGATGGAATCAATCCATGAAGATCATTTTTCGGAACATCCACCTGCAATCCATGTTGCTCCTAAAATACTTATATATGTGCACACACACACACACAACACACACACATGTATAGATAGATAGACACGTCCATCCAGAAACACATGTGAAATTCCAAATTATCAATTTGTAGTTGCAGAATACTGCAGTTGCCAAGTGCAATTAGGGTTATTTAATAAGGGTGAAATTAAACGAATTTTGACACAGAAAATGCAAAAAAAAAAAAAAAAAAAAAAAAAAATTTCGGCATAAGCAAACCTAATTGACAGGCTATCGAGCATCGAAACGAAAAACCTAATTGGGATGAACTTACTGGTTAAGAAGAAAAAGGACGGTGAATAATAGGATTACTCCAATGGCGGCATAAAGCTTCGTAGGCGGGATTTTCTCCAATTCAAACTCGTGTGCTTCGTTCAACAATTGCTGCAATTGGACCTGTATGCAAAAATTTGTCAACTAAAAATTTGTTCTGTTATTTTTTTAGCATTCTGGAACTGTAAATGACGTCGTCTTATTGGGCCAAATTCCTTATTTTGGAACTGTGAAAGGCCCAATTCATAAGCTTTATCTACATAGGCTTGGGCCTTTTTCATGTGCTTAACTAAATTAATACAAACTATATATTGTTTAATCCTATTTTCTATGTGAAAGTACAGTTTGCATCATTGAACTATGAGTGATGTCGTAAATACCCTCTTGAACTATAAAATGTACCAAAATGTTCTCTTCATTTCAAATCCGTTTAAGTATTATGATGTGGCGGGTTGACTTTCTCATCTTTTAATTACTTTTGAGCTGCAATATTTTTTTTGACCTTTTTACCCCCAATATACTACATCTACATCTGGGGACCGGAGATTTGGGATCATAAGAGGCGGCGCAGCTGGGAAAAAATTCCGGCCGACATGTGATGGAACCATCGGACTTTGGGTTTATTCCAAGTGGGAAGAAACGTGCCCATTCACGTTAACTCATAGATTCCATTAACACAATCCCTCTAAAATTCACTTTCACAAAAGCCAAATTAATAAAGAGAAGCAGAAAGAATTGACTAGTCCAATTTTTTAAAATTAAATACATTTAAGGGCAATTAAGTAATTACCCTAAAAAACTAACGGTGTTAGTTTGTCAGATGGTGACCATAAATGACAGTGGCCGTTTTGTCATGTTTTATAGTTCATGGAGGTTGTCAGATGGTGACCATAAATGACAGTGGCCGTTTTGTCATGTTTTATAGTTCATGGAGGTATTTGGGACAAACCCCATAGTTCAGGGAGTGCAAAATGTATTTTTCCCTATTTTCTAATCACGCTCTTGATTTTTTTTTTTCTCAATTTTTTTAGTCCGTTAGCTAATTTGCCGATGATAATTGTTGGGCGCTAAATACCTAACACGCAAGTGCACGTATCGCAAACAAGTAGTAAAAGTGGACTCGTGAGAGTCGGATGTCGATCCCACAGGGAATACGTAAATTATCTAATCCTAAGTACCAAATTCTAACAATTATGATTTTTATCCAGCCTACGCAAAGATGTCAAATATAATCAACTAAATAATTAAACTAATTATGAAAGCAAATAAACACGAGAAAATATCAATAAAAACGGACCTAGGATTTCATCTTCCCCCTATGCAAGAATTGCTCACCCAAAACCCCTCAATTATGAAATATATGATTCATGATTATTAACCCGAGACACTAATTTACTCATAACCCGCTGTCGCGTGTATTATGAGTCTATTATTCATAAACGGTTCACTATATGTCTATGCAAACAAATTATGAATAAAGCATTAACTAACAAGTCTCGTAAATGGCTACCTAAGGTGATATCTGTATGTCTACGACACCACATGCAATTGACACACTCATCCGGTGAAAACTACTCGAAGGCTCTTCTACTTACCGTCTAATTATCAAAATAGCTCTGTCGAGTCAATCCCAATAATCACAGATAAAGCACATAAATTGATCAAGTTCATGCACTAACAATCATATCAAGTAGAAGAAATAATCATAAAATCATAATTGCATAATCTCAAGAAAACGGGTTCACCATCCCCACATAGGGTTCCAACAAAATCCTAGATTAAAAACTTAGCTACACATGTTCTCTACGAAAAACATAATAAAAATATAAAACGACATAGATTAAGAAAAGATAGATAAAGGAAGAATTGTGATGAAGATTTGTCAATTCTCCGTCTTCGATTCTTCGTTCTCTCGCTCCTCTCGCTCCTCTCGCTCAAAGGTTGTGTCAAAAGTCCCTTTGATTCGTGCTTGGTTTGGGCTTAAATAGATGTCCCAACTTGGTAGATGATTCTAGGTTTCCTTGTGTGTTTAAAAGACCAAAATTGTCTCCAGCGTGATTTGGCACGGCTGCGCGAAAATCAGTGCAATTCTCGCACGGCCGCGCGAGAATCGCGAAACCTTCTGCCCAAATTCAGCATTTGGCACGGCCGTGCCAAAAATAGGCTAATTTTGGCACGGCCGTGCGGGCCCGTTCTCAGCCAATTTCAGCATATTTTTGATTATTTCACTTTTGGCCCATATTTTCTCCAAATTTGCAGTTTTTACCCCAAACTTTTCCAATTCTTCAATTTATACCTAAAATGCAATAAATCAACTTTTTAAGCACCAATTATCATTAAATCACACCAAAAGCTCAAATAAAAAGATACGATGAAGTGTAAAAATATACACTTAACACACCCCCAAACTTGATCTTTTGGTTGTCCTCAAGCAAAAACTAGCAACTTTCAAAGCAACACTCTCAACAAATGCCTCTCATCACATAGATTAATGGTCAACTTTTTTTTTTTTTTTTTTCAGAACTTGCAATTATCATGACAATTCTCAAAAATTTACAAGCTTGTAATTCAAAGATACGTATTCACTCACCATTGCTAAAAACCACAAACCATGCTATCGCTTCAAGTATCCCATATTTGTACATTAAAAATTGAGAAAATTTATACTTACATATTAATATTCAACTCCAAATACTCACCAAATTTCTTTACTCGGCTAGTATCAAATAATTGAGCTATTGGGATCATTGGGACTTTTTGGCTTTCAAATGTTGGGCTTTTTGGTTCGAGGTAGGAGATATGGGTATATGTGGCTATACTTCTTGAATTGAGGTGATTACGCCAAATTTTGAAAGATAGGCGTTTGAAACACTGAATTCACCTCTAAGGACTTTAATTAACTCGATTCTTAAGAGTTCAAAAGTCTCCACTTTTGCTCTTAAGACAATGGATTGAGCTTTCAAAACAACTCAACAACTAGTCCTTACTTCCCCTTCTAGTCTCTTCTTCTTCTTTCTCTTTTTTTTTTTTTTTATTATGATTATTTTATTTTTCTTTTTTATATATATATTTTTTTTTTCGAAGAAGAAGAAGGACCTTAAAAAAAAATTTCGACGGAACTCCAAGGGTTAATTTTTCAAAAATCTCCACTTATTCTACCTTATACACATTGGCTAAAAGAAAGAACACCGTTTCTCCAAGGCTCAATCAAGGTTCGAATGATAAAAATTTAAAGGTAGGCTTGAAAGGCTCAAACGGTTCAAAGATGGCCCACATCACTTCCCAAATTGCTCAACAATTTAATATTTCACTTTGTAAATTCATAAGACAAGTTCTAAAACCGAATATCATATGATATAACATAAATTAACTCAAATTTTAAAACACAAAACTTTCAACCAAAGCAACGCATAATTCGAGATTCCTAACAATGACTCCTTCTTACGACACTTTGAATCAAAAGCTCACCAAAATTCGATCAAAATCAAGATAAAACAAGCAATTTCATCATTAAACATCGACCATCTTTCATCATCATGATTCATCGAAGCATTTATCTCAAGCAATTTTTTTTTTTAAAGCAATAAATAAAGTAAAACAACTAAAATAAAAAAAAATCCTAAGGCATGCAAACTAAAAAATTAAAGCACATAAACAAGTAATTATGCACCCCCAAACTTAAAATTTACATTGCCCTCAATGTAATTAACACGAAGTTTAAGGATAGAATACACCTGAATAAGTCGTTTTGGCCATGTCCGGGCTGCTCTTCCACCCTCGCCTTTATTATGCTTCAGTTGAGGTTCGCACGGCTGTATGAGATTTTGAACTGTTTTCCGCACGGCCGTGCGAAACTTGAATTCTGGGCAGTAGCCTCTCCGATTTTCCACACGGCCGTGCTGGATTCAAGCTTTTTTTGGTGCGGCCGTGTGAAGTGGAAAATTGCACTTTGACCCCTGAAAATAAAAAAAATTGCTTATTTAATTAGCTTGCATGCTTATAAAATAAATAAATAAAATAAAACAAGAAACATAAATAATAAAAAAAAAAAAAAAAAAAATCTCGGGTTGCCTCACGAGAAGCGCTAAGTTTATAGTCTTCAGCCAGACTTTGTTCTTGAAATTGTTATGTCCAATCCAAAGCCTTGTAGATTGCGCATCCACCCATGAGCTCTATCACTTCAATTTCCACCAAGGCATGGATAGCATTGCAATATGTTACGATACACCTTAGCTTGTAGTCTTTTTTTGTGGTAATCAATCGGTACGAAGCCAAGATAGGATGTTCATCGGCCGCTCTCTCAAATCGGTATACAAAAATCTCCAGTCTACGTATAACCTCCACCTCAAACACATTAGCTTTCTCATCGACCATTATTGATGTCTTCAAATCCACATTTAGATCAACGACATGGTCCACAACTAGAATATCTTCAATCATTACATCCATCTCCTTCTTCTCTTGTTCTGAGGTATCTTCGTGGTTTAGCTCGATTGCCTTCTCAGATTCATTATGTTCAAGTATCTTCGTAATTTCTATTTCTCGCATATCG